TTATACCTAAAGGAACTAGAGAAAGAAGAACAAACAAAACCCAAAGTTAGCAGAAGGAAAGAAATCATAAAGATCAGAGCAGGAATAAATGAAAAAGAAACAAAGAAAACAATAGCAAAGATCAATAAAACTAAAAGCTGGTTCTTTGAGAAGATAAACAAAATTGATAAACCGTTAGCCAGACTCATCAAGAAAAAGAGGGAGAGGACTCAAATCAATAAAATTAGATATGAAAAAGGAGAAGTTACAACAGACACCACAGAAATACAAAGCATCCTAAGAGACTACGACAAGCAACTCTACTCCAATAAAATGGACAACCTGGAAGAAATGGACAAATTCTTAGAAAGGTATAACCTTCCAAGACTGAACCAGGAAGAAATAGAAAATATGAACAGACCAATCACAAGTAACGAAATTGAAACTGTGATTAAAAATCTTCCAACAAACAAAAGCCGTGGACCAGATGGCTTCACAGGTGAATTCTATCAAGCATTTAGAGAAGAGCTAACACCCCTCCTTCCCAAACTCTTCCAAAAAACTGCAGAGGAAGGAACACTCCCAAACTCATTCTATGAGGCCACCATCACCCTGATACCAAAACCAGACAAAGATACTACAAAAAAAGAAAATTACAGACCAATATCACTCATGAATACAGATGCAAAAATCCTCAACAAAATACTAGCAAGCAGAATCCAAGAACACACTGAAAGGATCATACACTGTGGTCAAGTGGGATTTATCCCAGGGATGCAAGGATTCTTCAATATATGCAAATCAATCAATGTGATACACCACATTAACAAACTGAAGAAGAAAAACCAAATGATCACCTCAATAGATGCAGAAAAAGCTTTTGACAAAATTCAACACCCATTTATGATAAAAACTCTCCAGAAAGTGGGCATAGAGGGAACCTACCTCAACATAATAAAGGCCATATACAACAAACCCACAGCAAACATCATTCAGAACAAAATACCTTAAAATTTGTATGGAGACACAAAAGACCCCAAATAGCCAAGGCAGTCTTGAGGGAAAAAAACGGAGCTGGAGGAATCAGACTCCCTGACTTCAGACTATACTACAAAGCCACAGTAATCAAGACAATATGGTACTGGCACAAAAACAGAAATATAGATCAATGGAACTGGACAGAAAGCCCAGAGATAAACCCACGCACCTATGGTCAACTAATCTATGACAAAGGAGGCAAGGAAATACAATGGAGAAAAGACAGTCTCTTCAATAAGTGGTGCTGGGAAAACTGGACAGCTACATGTAAAAGAATGAAATTAGAACACTCCCTAACACTATACACAAAAATAAACTCAAAAAGGATTAGAGACCTAAACGTAAGACCGGAGACTATAAAACTCTTAGAGGAAAACATAGGAAGAACACTCTTTGACATAAATCACAGCAAGATCTTTTTTGATCCACCTCCTAGAGTGATGGAAATAAAAACAAAAATAAACAAATGGGACCTAATGAAACTTAAAAGCTTTTGCACAGGAAAGGAAACTACAAACAAGATGAAAAGACAACCCTCAGAATGGGAGAAAATATTTGCACACAAATCAACGGGCAAAGGATTCATCTCCAAAATATATAAACAGTTCATGCAGCTCAGTATTAAAAAAACAAACAACCCAATCCAAAAATGGGCATAAGACCTAAATAGACATTTCTCCAAAGAAGAAATACAGATGGCCAAGAAGCATGTGAAAAGCTGCTCAACATCACTAATTATTAGAGAAATGCAAATCAAAACTACAATGAGGTATCACCTCACACCAGTTAGATTGGGCGTCATCAGAAAATCTACAAACAACAAATGCTGGAGAGGGTGTGGAGAAAAGGGAACCCTCTTGCACTGTTGGTGGGAATGTAAATTGATACAGCCACTATGGAGAACAGTATGGAGGGGTTCCTTAAAAAACTAAAAATGGAATTACCATATGACCCAGCATTCCCACTACTGGGCATATACCCAGAGAAAACCATAATTCAAAAGGACACATGCACCCCAATGTTCACTGCAGCACTATTTACAATAGCCAGGACATGGAAGCAACCTAAACGCCCATCGACAGATGAATGGTTAAAGAAGATGTGGTACATATATACAATGGAATATTACTCAGCCATGAAAAGGAACGAAACTGAGTCATTTGTAGAGACATGGATTGATCTAGAGACTGTCATACAGAGTGAATATATATGGAACCTAGAAAAGTAGTGCAGATGAACCAGTTTGCAGGGCAGAAATTGAGACACAGATGTAGAGAACAAATGTATGGACACCAAGGGGGGAACGTGGCGGGTGGGAGGGGTGGTGGTGTGATGAACTGGGATATTGGGATTGACATATGTACACTAATATGTATAAAATGGATAACGAATAAGAACCTGCTGTATAAAAATAAAATAAAATTCAAAAAAAAAGTAACCAATTTAGAAAAGTATTAATAAGTAATTTTACTCTACTTTTATAGTAAGTCTTCAAAATCTGGTGTATATTCTCCACAAACAGCATATCTCGATTCGGACTAACCACGTTTCAAGTGTTCCAAGAACACCAGCTCATGGCCAGGTACCGATGGTGCAGTTCTAGACGTGGAGATCCCTGAGCGCCTTTGCCATCACTGTGCACTGGCACATCACCCGTCACACAGTAGGCACATGGTAAATGTGCATGACATGCATGAACATCTGCTCTCCACTACACCACAAAAATGGAACCACAGCAAGGTTACTCAGTTGCTTTCTAGAAATTCCTGGGTCATTTTATAAATTCAGAGGATTCTTTAAGTTCCTAATGCTACAGTGCTTGAATCCTACCAAGGATAGTTATAAATTTACCATCCTTTTAACCCTTTAACGAGGGTTAAAAGGATGGTGGGAAGATGAAGAGTTGCCCTTGACTTTTATTACAGGGCATCCCAACAGAGCACTTTGCCTTTTTAATCTCTGGGGCCTATGGCACTCTCCCATGTCTAATTACTCAAACTTTCTCTTCCTCAAACCTCTTACTCCAAATCCCAAAGCGAAATCTGAGATGACTTTACCTCCTGCTTAACAGAGAAGACAGTCTCCATCAAATGTGAACCCCTCAAGCACACGGCGCACCTTCCAGCTCATCTCATCTGCCTCATCTGCCCCCATGTGCTCATACTTTTCCTCACTCAGCAAAACTCACTGAGTTTCTCACAGAAAGGCTGGGACTTTCCCCATGTGATAGCTCCCTTCTCCCCAGCTCTACTGATTTAGGCTTTGCTTAAACAGCATCTCCTGGTGAGGTCTACCCTGACTCCTCTTTAAAACTGCAATTCTATTACACCTTCCCAATGCCCCTTACCTGCTCCTCGTTTTCCCCCATGGCATTTTTCACCTTCCACAAACAGCTTGCTTATTGTTTGTCCCCCAGCATGTCGTTAGCACATCAAATCGTTTAAGGCAAGGATCCCTGTCTGCTGTCCACTGGTATGTCCTTAGCACCCAGAACAGATACTCAATAATGCTTTGCTGGGTTGAATCAGCTACCTGCAGAGTGGCCTGAACAAGATGCTCTCTTCCAGCTTTTGGATTTTGCTAATTCTTGCCCTAATTCACATCTATGTACTATTAGATTTTTCTGTTCAGAGGAGTCTCACAGATGGGAGAAAAGTTCAGAATGTCTTTCTTTATCTCTCTCCTCCTTTATATCCCAATACTCTGGGCAATGTTCCCACATGTGCAGAAAAGCAAAGAAACACAGGGCATCTTAAGAAGCTTACGATAAATAGAACTGAGAATGGTCCTTTGTAAATATTTTCCTAACTTCTTTGCTCAAAAATTACTAAATTAAGCGCTTTCCTTCATTAAGTTGGTTTAAACTGGAACTTATTTTTCCAAAAAAACTAAATCACACATACTCATGAGAATCTCTGTCCTTCATGAGATCCCAAACCTATGGATCACAAAATTAAAGTATGAGTTCAGAAGAATAAAGCAAGATCACTGAGAAAGGTCTTAATGTGCTGGTCCAGGGCAGAGCAGGATGCAGTCAACCAACCGGGCTCTTACCTGTGCTGGGCCTCTCGGAAGGGGATAAACTCCATGCAGGCTTATCACTTAGGGCTGCTTCAGGCACTCCTGGCCGACCTGGAACCATAAAGGTGAGGGGCTGCTTTTGCTAGAGAGGCCCTTGGAATTTTCTAAACTTGCCCCTAGAGAATTTCACAGCAGTCCCTACTCTTCTTCCAGAGTTTCCTGACATTCAGGAGAGAGAGGCATAGAGCAAGTATAGGGAAAACACAGAGAGAGAGCACACCTGCTGGGACAGGTACACTTCCCACAAGCATGAGAGAAAAAACCATCACAAGAAAAGAGAAACAAGCAAGAGAAGTAACTCTGTGACACAAAGCCATCAATTCCGCATGAAGATCACCTGCTGCTACTGCTCCCAAGGCTGACTTGACACCTTGGTGAAGTTCATGGATGAAGTGTGCTACCCAGTCATGGGGAACATTTCTTCCCAGAATCTAGGTCTCACAAGTAGGTAACTCCCATTTCTCTACAGGTGAGAGCCTAGATGAACGACTTTGGATTACTGGGGGACATATGACAGGTGTGTGTGAAGTGGGGGGACTACCTTCAAGTAAGTACACTTGTACTGCATCACAATACTTGCTTTCCCTCAGTTTGTCCTAAAATAAGGAACCCTACAAGACCTCTAAGAGCAAATTTTCTTGTATAATTATATGCAACTCAAACTAACTGTATCATTTAAACAGGGGAAAACAGTATTTCAGTTGGCACGAAAACCAAATGTACTTTAAATGCTATGCAATTTAAAACATTCTCTTGAGCTCCTGAGTGAATTAAAATGGTACCTGATATAAAAGTTGTGAGAAAATTGCCTTTTGAAAATAAATAAGATATGCGTGTAAGTTTTCCGAGGCTAAAAACTCTAGTCCAGAGTAAGCACGTCCATTTAAAAAGTGTGGGCTTACTTCTGCTCTTGAGCAGTCGCTTTTCCTCCTCCTTTAGCTTGTTCTGCATCAGACGGAGAGTGTTTTCAGCTTCCTATGGAGCAGGAAAAACAAGATCCAGAAGAAATGACACTTTCTGGACTGTTTTATTATTCTTTACCATGTAAGTACTGCTAAATTTGTGATATAGAAGCAAAGAAGACTAAACTACAGGAAGGGGAAAAGAACTAACGCTGCATGAGAAACTCAACACCCCCTCTCCGTCATCACTCTGGCAGCCCGATGAAAAGGGGGGCTCCCAGAAGTGACACCACTGGCCCAAAATGGGCCTCACTGGTCCCCAAAGCCAGGCCCCTCCCACTACACCTCACTGCCTCTGAAGAAAACTGACAACGCAACAAGATGCCTGTCACGTGTGCCTGTGTGGGATGTGGACACAGGAACAGATGCATCAACTATGGGGCCTCTTGCTCTTAAAATAAAGCATGAATTTTATCATTTTCCTGCCCTGCACAATTCTAACCCTGAAAGGGGCTAAATGGTAGGAGTGATCAGATAGGAAAGAAAGAAAGAAATACTAGTTTTAATTCCTAGCGTATAAAAAAAAAAGCTAATACTTGAGTTAGGTTACAAAATGTGGCCCTGATTGTCAAAAAAGAGAATGGGAGGGACTTCCTTGTGGTGGTTCAGTGGTTAAGAATGCGTACTTCCACTGCAGAGGGGCGGGTTCCATCCCTGACTGGGGAACTAAGATCCCGCATGCCGTGCGGTGCGGCAGAAAAAAAAAAAGTTAGAAAAAGAGAGAATGGGAGAGGAAACTGGCTTTTAAAAATGTGCTGTTGTTCTAAATGTTAAAAAGGAAGCACTGTTTCATGCATGAGATATTTTGAGGGACCAGGTATTAGAAGCATGGGGAGTAGCTGTGAGCACAGAAGAAAAAGAGGGTAGGTACTTGCTGAAGGGAGGGTGGGCAGGAAGGCGCCCCTCAGACGTAACCTGGGCCACCCACTCGCATCCTGAGGCACGTTCTTTGGTACGTTCTCTGAGCCTAGGGGTGGCCCAGACAATAGTACAAAATGATCAGCTTATTTTCACTGTCTCTTTACTGCTCTTTCCCAGACACCCAATGTTTAAAATGTCCAGAACTCCAGGGTCTTTTCATTGCCCTCAAAACGTGCCTGTCCTGGACCCTCCATTCCTCCGTGGCCTGCCTCTGCCTTAAAGCAAGAGTGGCAACAGGTTCCTCGTCCAGATAAACATGTCCAGATGAAGGTGTCAGTTACAGCCAGCCCTCGTGGCAACAAAGTAGCATCACCTAATTCAAATGTCTAGGTTTGTAATAAGGCTAGGATAACCTTTATACCAAAAGCTGTCAAGGACAGCATGAGAAAGGGAAATTGGAGACCAGTTTCACTGTGAACATAGATTCCAAATGCCTATTTTAGGGTTAAGCAGAAATATCCCTAGGGGATAAGGGCAATTCAAAATGACAGCAATTTTGTCCAACTTCCTTTGCTCTGATTCCATATTTATCAACTGATGCTGGGATCTGAAATACTCTTTCCTAAATGGCCTTACACATTGGGATGAAAGGAACCTGAAAGACAGCTGGTCAGTTTATAGGTCATATATATTTCCCACAATAATCAATAAGCTACAATTCTTCTTTATAAAGTAGTTTCTGAAAAGCTACTCTGGGTGATTCAATAAACCAGGGCTTGAAAATCTTTAAGTGAACTGACCAAGCAAGATCTGTACACAAGACATGTTACATAATTTGTGGGACTCAGTGCAAAATAAAATGCAGTTAAAAAGAATTTCAAGACGGTGACAGCAGAGGATTAAAGCAAGCCCAGGTCCTTCTAAGCTTGCAGCTGTAGCCAACTGCACAGGTCATGTCCCAGCCCTGTCTGTAGTCCTAACTGACCAAACTCTGGTGACAACCTACTACCAAAGATTTGAAAACCTTGGAGCCCAGGCTACACAACCAGAAAAACAGAAGAATCACATGAGCAATCCTTAGTCTGATCAGGGAGAAAAAACATTCACCTGATATTTTTTTCACAGTGATATTTACAAACTGGCATGTCAACAAGTACAAAGTAACACACCAGAACGAATGGTCATACAGAAGGACTAAGCACTCACCTCAAACCTCTCTTGCTCCATCCTGTGATGATCCTCAAGTTGCTGTTCCAGATAAGCCAGATTTCGAAATTTCTCTAGATAAATGTCATACTGCTTTTGCAATTCGTCCTCAGTCTTCTCATATTCATCCATAAAGGCTGGCCTAGAAAAACAAAATGAAGTAAAAACTGAAAGATTAATCAATATACAAAAATACAGTAGTTTGAAACTGGTATTCAGAGCTCCAGATTCTGTCCTAGTTTTCTTTGGAAAGCCTTTAATTAGAGAAGGTTCTTCATTCTTGTAACTAAAGCTAATTTCCCCTTTTCTCTTCCCTCCCCACAAAACGAAGATACTTTTTTTTTTTTTTTTTCGGTATGCGGGCCTCTCACTGTTGTGGCCTCTCCCGTTGCGGAGCACAGGCTCCGGACGCGCAGGCTCAGCGGCCATGGCTCACGGGCCCAGCAGCTCCGCGGCATGTGGGATCTTCCCGGACCGGGCACGAACCCATGCACCCTGCATCGGCAGGCGGACTCTCAACCACTGCGCCACCAGGGAAGCCCACGAAGATACTTTTAATCAAAAATTAAGACGTGCTCTTTGTAAAAACTAGAAATAATCCTGAAAGTATTACGAATAAAATTAAAATTACTCATAATCCCATCACTAGGTATTAGCACTTAATATTTGACATACATCCTTCCAGACTTTTCTATGCATAGATACATAGAGAAATGCATTTCTTTTTAACAAACATTAAGTATATAATCTCAAATGAAGCTCTGAGGTCTTTTTTCCTTACTCAATATGGCACATATTTCAATACAGAGTTAAAGAATAATCATACATCATACACATCTCTTAAAAATCAATAAATTAAATACATGCATTATCTTAGCTGGGCATAATATTCTGTCTGAATGTTCCAAAATTTAATCAGTCCCCTAAAAAGAGAAATATAGGTTGCTATAAATTCAAGCTAAGTTTTTAAACAATATAAAACTTAAAAATAAAACCACAGCATAAAAACCTGTTTCAACTGGTTTGCTGAATTTTTTTCTCTTATTATAGATTTTAAAGGGAAAACTTTGTTCTTTTAAAAATATAAACAGATAGGGACTTCCTTGGCAGTCCAGTGGTTAAGACTCTGAGCTCCCAATGCAGGGGGCACGGGTCTGATCCTGGATCGGGGAACTAAGATCCCGCATGCTGCACGGCACAGCCCCAAAAACTTTTTTTTTTTTTTTCCTTCGGTATGTGGGCCTCTCACTGTTGTGGCCTCTCCCGTTGCGGAGCACAGGCTCTGGACGCACAGGCTCCGCGGCATATGGGATCTTCCCGGACCGGGGCACGAACTCGTGTCCCCTGCATCGGCAGGCGGACTCTCAACCACTGCGCCACTAGGGAAGCCCCCCAAAAACTTTTAAAATAAAAACATAAACAGACAAACTAGAAAATAATTTATAATCTTTTGGACTAGAGGGAAGCAGAGAAATTTTTCTATTAAAAAGATCTGAGGCTTGTGGAACAAAAACCACATTCACAGAAAGATAAGACAAGATGAAAAGGCAGAGGGCTATGTACCAGATGAAGGAACAAGACAAAACCCCAGAAAAACAACTAAATGAAGTAGAGATAGGCAACCTTCCAGAAAAAGAATTCAGAATAATGACAGTATGATCCAGGACCTTGGAAACAGAATGGAAGCAAAGACTGAGAAGATGCAAGAAATGTTTAACAAAGACCTAGAAGAATTAAAGAACGAACAAACAAACAGAGATGAAAAATACAATAATTGAAATGAAAACTACACTAGAAGGAATCAATAGCAGAATAACTGAGGCAGAAGAACGGATAAGTGACCTGAAGACAGAATGGTGGAATTCACTGCTGTGGAACAGAATAAAAAAAAAAGAATGAAAAGAAATGAAGACAGCCTAAGAGACCTCTGGGACATCATTAAACACAACATTCGCATTATAGGGGTCCCAGAAGGAGAAGAGACAGAGAAAGGACCAGAGGAAATATTTAAAGAGATTATAGTTGAAAACTTCCCTAACATGGGAAAGGAAATAGCCATCCAAGTGCAGGAAGCACAGCGAGTCCCAAACAGGATAAACCTAAGGAGAAACACGCTGAGACACACAGTAATCAAATTCACAAAAATTAAAGACAAAGAAAAATTATTGAAAGCAGTAAGGGAAAAAAGACAAATAACAAACAAGGGAACTCCCATAAGGTTAACAAGCTGATTTCTCAGCAGAAACTCTACAAGCCAGAAAGGAGTGGCATGACATATTTAAAGTGATGAAAGGGAAGAACCTACAACCAAGATTACTCCACCCAGCAAGGATCTCATTCAGATTCGATGGAGAAATCAAAAGCTTTACAGACAACCAAAAGCTAAGAGAATTCAGCACCACCAAACTAGCTCTACAACAAACACTAAAGAAACTTCTCTAAGTGGGAAACACAAGAGAAGTAAAGGACCTACAAAAACAAACGCAAAACAATTAAGAAAATGGTCATAGGAACATACATATCAATAATTACCTTAAACGTGAATGGATTAAATGCTCCAACCAAAAGACACAGGCTTGCTGAATGGATACAAAAACAAGACCCATATATATGCTGTCTACAAGAGACCCACTTCAGACCTAGGGACACATACACATTGAAAGTGAGGGGATAAAAAAGATATTCTATGCAAATGGAAATCAAAAGAAAGCTGGAGTAGCAATACTCATATCAGATAAAATAGACTTTAAAATAAAGAATGTTATAAGAGACAAGGAAGGACACTACATAATGATCAAGACATCAATCCAAGAAGGTATAATAATTATAAATATATATGCACCCAACATAGGAGCACCTCAATACATAAGGCAACTGCTAACAGCTATAAAAGATGAAATTGACAGTAACACAATTATAGTGGGGGACTTTTAACACCTCACACCAATGGACAGATTATCCAAAATGAAAATACATAAGGAAACAGAAGCTTTAAATGACACAATAGACCAAATAGATTTAATTGATATTTATAGGACATCCCATCCAAAAACAGCAGATTACACTTTCTTTTCAAGTGTGCACGGAACATTCTCCAGGATAGATCACATCTTGGGTCACAGATCAAGCCTCAGTAAATTTAAGAAAACTGAAATCATATCAAGCATCTTTTCTTACCACAATGCTCTGAGATTAGAAATGAATTACAGGGGGCTTCCCTGTTGGCGCAGTGGTTGAGTCTGCCTGCCAATGCAGGGGACATGGGTTTGAGCCCTGGTGTGGGAAGATCCCACATGCCATGGAGCAACTGGGCCCATGAGCCACAACTACTGAGCCTGCGCATCTGGAGCGTGTGCTCCACAACAAGAGAGGCCGCGATAGTGAGAGGCCCACACACCGCGATGAAGAGTGGCCCCCGCTTGCCGCAACTAGAGAAAGCCCTTGCACAGAAACAAAGACCCAACATAGCCAAAAATAAATTAATTAATAAATTTTAAAAAAAAACAAAAAACCTTAGAACAGCTATTAAAAAAAAAAAGAAATGAACTACAGGGAAGAAAACGTAAAAAACACAAACACGTGGAGGCTAAACAATACGTTACTAAATAACCAAGAGATCACTGAAGAAATCAAAGAGGAAATCAAATATACCTAGAGACAAAGGACAATGAAAACATGACAATTCAAAACCTATGGGATGCAGCATAAGCAGTTCTAAGAGGGAAGTTTATAACAATACAATCCTACCTCAAGAAACAGCAAACATCTCAAATAAACAATCTAACCTTACACCTACAGGAACTAGAGAAAGAAGAACAAACAAAACCCAAAGTTAGCAGAAGGAAAGAAATCATAAAGATCAGAGCAGAAATAAATGAAATAGAAACAAAGGAAACAATAGCAAAGATCAATAAAACTAAAAGCTGGTTCTTTGAGAAGAAAAACAAAATTGATAAACCGTTAGCCAGACTCATCAAGAAAGAGGGAGAGGACTCAAATCAATAAAATTAGATATGAAAAAGGAGAAGTTACAACAGACACCACAGAAATACAAAGCATCCTAAGAGACTACGACAAGCAACTCTATGCCAATAAAATAGACAACCTGGAAGAAATGGACAAATTCTTAGAAAGGTATAACCTTCCAAGACTGAACCAGGAAGAAATAGAAAATATGAACAGACCAATCACAAGTAACGAAATTGAAACTGTGATTAAAAATCTTCCAACAAACAAAAGCCGTGGACCAGACGGCTTCACAGGTGAATTCTATCAAACATTTAGAGAAGAGTTAACACCCATCTTTCTCAACTCTTCCAAAAAACTGCGGAGTAAGGAACATTCCCAAACTCATTCTATGAGGCCACCATCATCCTGATACCAAAACCAAACAAAGATACTACAAAAAAAGAATTACAGACCAATATCACTCATGAATACAGATGCAAAAATCCTCAACAAAATACTAGCAAGCAGAATCCAAGAACACACTGAAAGGATCATACCCCGTGATCAAGTGGGATTTATCCCAGGGATGCAAGGATTCTTCAATATATGCAAATCAATCAATGTGATACACCACATTAACAAACTGAAGAAGAAAAACCATATGACCATCGCAATAGATGCAGAAAAAGCTTTTGACAAAATTCAACACCCATTTATGATAAAAACTCTCCAGAAAGTGGGCATAGAGGGAACCTACCTCAACATAATAAAGGCCATATACAACAAACCCACAGCAAACATCATTTCAATAGTGAAAAACTGAAAGCATTTCCTCTAAGATCAGGAACAAGAAGACAAGGATGTCCACTCTCACCACTATTATTCAACATAGTTTTGGAAGTCCTAGCCACGGCAATCAGAGAAGAAAAAGAAATAAAAGGAATACAAATTGGAAAAGAGGAAGTAAAACTGTCACTGTTTCCAGATGACATGATACTATACATAGAGAATCCTAAGGATGCCACCAGAAAACTACTGGAGCTAATCAATGAATCTGGTAAAGTTGCAGGATACAAAATTAATGCACAGAAATCTTTTGCATTCCTATACACTAATGATGAAAAATCTGAAAGAGAAATTAAGGAAACACTCCCATTTACCACTGCAACAAAAAGAATAAAATACCTAGGAATAAACCTACCTAGGGAGACAAAACACCTGTATTCAGAAAACTGTAAGACACTGATGAAAGAAATTAAAGATGATATCAACAGATGGGGAGATATACCATGTTCTTGGATTGGAAGAATCAATATTGTGAAAATGACTATACTACCCAAAGCAATCTACAGATTCAATGCAATCCCTATCAAATTACCAATGGCATTTTTTACAGAACTAGAACAAAATACCTTAAAATTTGTATGGAGACACAAAAGACCCCAAATAGCCAAGGCAGTCTTGAGGGAAAAAAACGGAGCTGGAGGAATCAGACTCCCTGACTTCAGACTATACTACAAAGCCACAGTAATCAAGACAATATGGTACTGGCACAAAAACAGAAATATAGATCAATGGAACTGGACAGAAAGCCCAGAGATAAACCCACGCACCTATGGTCAACTAATCTATGACAAAGGAGGCAAGGAAATACAATGGAGAAAAGACAGTCTCTTCAATAAGTGGTGCTGGGAGAACTGGACAGCTACATGTAAAAGAATGAAATTAGAACACTCCCTAACATTACACACAAAAATAAACTCAAAAAGGATTAGAGACCTAAATGTTAGACCGGAGACTATAAAACTCTTAGAGGAAAACATAGGAAGAACACTCTTTGACATAAATCACAGCAAGATCTTTTTTGATCCACCTCCTAGAGTGATGGAAATAAAAACAAAAATAAACAAATGGGACCTAATGAAACTTAAAAGCTTTTGCACAGCAAAGGAAACTACAAACAAGATGAAAAGACAACCCTCAGAATGGGAGAAAATATTTGCAAATGAATCAACGGGCAAAGGATTCATCTCCAAAATATATAAACAGCTCATGCAGCTCAGTATTAAAGAAACAAATAACCCAATCCAAAAATGGGCAGAAGACCTAAATAGACATTTCTACAAAGAAGACATACAGATGGCCAAGAAGCACGTGAAAAGCTGCTCAACATCACTAATTATTAGAGAAATGCAAATCAAAACTACAAAGAGGTATCACCTCACACCAGTTAGAATGGGCACCAACAGAAAATCTACAAAGAAATGCTGGAGAGGGTGTGGAGAAAAGGGAACCCTCTTGCACTGTTGGTGAGAATGTAAATTGATACAGCCACTATGTAGAACAGTATGGAGGTTCCTTAAAAAAATAAAAATAGAATTACCATATGATCCAGCACTCCCACTACTGGGCATATACCCAGAGAAAACCATAATTCAAAAGGACACATACACCCCAATGTTCACTGCAGCACTATTTACAATAGCCAGGTCATGGAAGCAATCTAAATGCCCATCGACAGATGAATGGATAAAGAAGTTGTGGTACATATATACAATGGAATTCTGCCATAAAAAGGAACGAAATTCAGTCATTTGTTGAGATGTGGATGGATCTAGAGACTGTCATACAGAGTGAAGTAAGTCAGAAAGAGAAAAATATCGTATATTAACGCATGTATGTGGAATCTAGAAAAATGGTACAGATGAACGGGTTTGCAGGGCAGAAGTTGAGACACAGATGTAGAGGACAAACGCATGGACACCAAGGGGTTAAAGCCGCGGCGGGGTGGGGATGGTGGTGTGATGAATTGGGCGATTGGGATTGACATGTATACACTGATGTGTATAAAACTGATGACTAATAAGAACCTGATGTATAAAAAAAATTAAAAATAAATTAAAAAACAAAAGATCTGAGGCTTAACAAAAATGAATTTATGCTTGAAAGGCAGACGTTTTTAATGAGATAAATCTATCTGGTGGCCCTGATCCAGAGGCAGAAGGGGCGGGGGCTTTCCCCTGGCAAAGAGGAAGCCTTGATGCTCCCTCGGTTACTGTCTGCTGCCCCCAGGTGCTGCCTTCCTGCAGATCTCAGGACAGGAACCAGAGTGTGAGCCAGGCACATGTCCCCAAAAAACAAGACACATTCAGAGCGAATACAGCAGCTGGAGAAAGGAAGGAGTAAAGAGAGAAAAATAAAGGGAGAATGAAAAGGGAGGAAGGGCAACACAGAAACAAAGCAAAGGAAGGAGGGTACAAAGTGAGAGAAAAAGGGAGGGCACAAGAAAGAAGTGCGGTGGGGGGAAGTGTGGGCTCCAAGAAAATGTGAGGCACACACTTGAAAGGGAAAGTCAGAGGAAGGATGAATTACCAGTGAGGAATTATAAACTGTAAAATCTACTCAAACCAAGAAATGGGAGTATGTTTCTGTTTCAACCTAATTTATGGCAAGTCACAGATCTGAGGAGCCAGGCCTTGTATAACTTTCGCCATCTGGATTTACTTACTTTGCCTTGCATTCCAAGAAGCTATAAAAGCTATAAGGGAGGTTCAAGAACTAAGCAGTTTTCCAGACATACTGAAAGCAGTAAAGAGAATGAGTTTAGCAGTGTGCCTGTTAAAAACACACGTACATTCTGCAGCAGAGACATCTTTATGCCGGGCTTTTCCCACTGCTTGAAAGGTTAATACCACTGACGATATATTCCCTCAGTCTGCTTTAACTTGCAGAGACAGCGTTCTACTCAGTCTTCAGGTGTTCATATCTACCTGACACTCTGCAGAGTCTGGAGTCGCTTCCGATTTCTTTCCAGCTCTAATTTCCTCTTGTCAATTTTGGCTTCTAGGTTAGCTTCATCAGAGGCCACATTATTGAGCAGGTCTTTCGTCTTCTGAAACTGCACCTACATTTAACAGGAAATGAAGGAGACAAATGTGGCAATAAGGACCAGGACCTGACTCTTGGAAGAGCAGGACTTCTCAACCTCTCAAGCCCAGCAACACCTCACTAAACAGAATCAAGGGGAAGAAGAGCAAACCCTCCCCCAAGCCATCACTCGTTTAACCAACTATTTCCAGGAGGAACATCACATAGGCCTAGAAAGAATCATCTACTTTTTTTTTTTCCATGAGAAGGTGTTTCCAAAGAGGGACCCAAAACCTCCTGCCACCTCACTTGTTTAGATGGTTACACCTCACTCTGAAGGGTTGGTTTGCCTTCATTTACATAGTTCAGGCTAATCCCCAGCTACTAATATCTGACTTATAGAATACATGCACACACAAGCTTTATCTTAGCTTTACTTAGAAGGGAACAAAAAGAAATGCCGCCTGGTCCCAGCTCTAATGTGCTGCCTGCTGGGACTGAGAGAAGGTTCCTCTCCCCGTCCCAGGCAGCTGAACCGGAGA